AGATTCTATTTATAGATTGCCGTATTTAGAGAGGCCTGAGCATATGTGCTCAATTAAACATTCTGTCAATTCATATATTGTGTGACAATACCGAATCGCCATTGCACTTGTTGCTTTACGGATGAAAGCCTCAAACATTTTGTCATAAGTCAGGGCTTACTAAATACTGTATCTAACATGTTCGAGGACTGTTACCGGCAAATAGATACTGCTATAATTCTCGAGACCGTTCGCGCAGAATACTTTCGGTAAATCCGTCTAGAAGATACACACAATAAGTAAGCATGAACGGATACCTATTTTTTAACACCTAAAGCTCTAGAAATGTTTTTGTACAACTTTACAGTTGATTTGTTTTGCGCGTCACTCTTCCGCGGCTATTACCAACACTCCAGAGCCCAACACTAGCAGATTCGGGCAGCCTGGCACTAATGCTAGTGCGCGTGAGGGAGGCACTTGAGTAAACATTTTTTTGATCATAAGACAAGGTCGACCGAAAATTCAGATCTTTGAAATGTTGGGAATCCATACACAGTGGAGATCTGCGAGTGCAGCCACTGGACTATTTCATGGCCCAGCGCTGCTCATCGCGCATGCGGTCATGCTCGGCCGTGCCGAAAGGCGTTGATCTGATGCCTTCTGTGAGCTTTGGCTTCGATCTCGAGGAACACTCTGATGAGGATCTGGCGATCTTAACGTTTTTGTGGATGAATAAGCGCTCTTGAAATTCTTTGAGCTCAAGTGCTGCTCCACGCTAGGCTGATGCCATGTCATGCGCAGATAAAGATGAGCCGATCGTCTTCTTGCTCAGGCCATGCTCTGCATGACGGTTCCCTTCTCTTTTTTATCGAGAAGCGGGCAGCGTTTTTCAAATTTCTGGGCCCGTCGTTCCGTTTATTGGCACCCAACAAAATCTGCGCGAAAATCCTCGTCGATATGTGCAAGGCGATCCAGACTGAAGCGCTTCAGCAGGCTCCGCGTTTCAAGGTTGTCTGGATGACGTTGGTCAGGGCAGCGACGAAAAATGGCAAACAACCGTGGAATGTCATGGCTTGCGGTCCGCAAGCTTATTTGTTGCAGTACATCGAGATGATCTTCAGCAGCAGACTGCGAAAAACTTTCTCGCCAAGATCGTCATGGTCAAGGAGTAGATGAACGTGGTCGTCTGATATCTGACCACATCGCACCCGATGACTCTAGAATTAACAGTTATTCGACGATGTATGCGCTCTGCATGGACTCGCCAAATGTCACGCGTAGTCGCGCACGAAGGTGATCAGTTTGGGCCACTTTGTCGTTACCAACGGCTGCGGTCTCACGAGCACGAGCGTCGCGCCTTGCGCACGCTATCAATGACGAGTGACCTCGTTGAGGATG